AAAAAAAAAAAAAAAAAAAAAAAAAAGGTGAACAGATTAATACTTCAAACATATTTATACATATTTACTGCAACATTTTTGGAGTAGTGTTGTGGGAGGTTTTTTTAACAGCCTTATTGAGATATTACCACATACCATATAATTCATCCATTTAAACTATACAGTTGCATGATTTTTTGTATTTTCAGAGTTGTGAAATCCATTTTAGAACATTTCATCACCCCTAAAAGAAACTCCTGTTAGCATTCACTTTTTATTACAACCCCACACCTACCTCTTGGTAACCATTGATCTAACTTCTGTCTCTATGAAGTTTTCTATTCTGGACATTTTATATAAATGGAATCATATAATATGTGGTCTTCTGTGTTGGCTTCTTTGATTTAGGATAATGGTTTCAAGGTCCATCCATGATGCAGCATGTATCAGCAGTTCTTTTTATGGTTGAATAATATTCCATTGCATAGATATACCACATTTTGTTTATTCATTTATTAGTTATTTCCGCCTTTTGGCTATTATGATTAGTGTTGCTATAAACATTTGTATACAACTTTTTATGTGGATATATCTTTATTTCTTTTGAGCATGTATAGAGAGGAGTGGAATTGCTGAGTCATATGGTGACTGTATGTTTAACCTTTCTTTGAGACAGAGTCTCACTCTGTCACCCAGGCTAAAGTGCAGTGCCATGATCTCGGCTCACTACAGCTTTCGCCTCTTGGGTTTAAACGATTCTTGTGCCTCAGCCTCCTGAGTGGCTGGGATTACAGGTGTGTACCACCATGCTCAGAGAATTTTTGTATTTTTTAGTAGAGACAGGTTTTCACCATGTTGGCCAGGCTGGTCTCAAATTCCTGGCCTCAAGTGATCTGCCTGCTTCAGCCAACCAAAGTGCTATGATTACAAGCGTGAGCCACTGCTCTCAGCCCTATGTTTAACCTTTTGAGGAACTATCAGGCTGTTTTCCAAGGTGACTATACCAGTTTACATCCGCACCAGGAGTTTACAAGGCTTCCAGTTTCTCCACATTCTTGCCAGTTCTTGGCTATTATCCATCCTTTTTATTGTAGCCATCCCAGTTTTGATTTGCATTTCCCTGATAGCTAATGATGTTGAGCATCTTTTCATGTGCTTGCTAGGATAGTGTATTCTCTTTTCTCTCTCTCTCTCTTAAATTTTTTTTTTTTTTCTGTGACAGGGTCTTGCTCTGTCACCCAGGCTGGAGTGCAGTGGTGCAATCATGGCTCACTGCACTCTCAGTCTCCCAGGCTCAAGCGATCTGTCCACCTCAGCTCCCCAAGTAGCTAAGACCACAGGTACATGCCACCATGTCAAGCTAATTTTTAAACTTTATGTAGAGACAGTGTCTCTCTATATTGCCCAGGCTGGTCTCAAACTCCTGGACTCAAGCTATCCTCCCTTACTCAGCCTCCCAAAGTGCTACCATTACAAGTGTAAGCTACCATGCCAGCCTTAAAATATTTTTAATATTTTTTTATAAGATGAGATCACACTATGTTGCCCAGTCTTATCTTGAATTCCTTGGCTCAGGCAATCCTCCTGCCTAAGACTCCTGAATATCTGGGACTACAGGTGCATGCTGCCACACCCAGTTTGACTAATGTATTCTTTTTTTTTCTTCTTCTTCTTTTTTTTTTGAGACAGGGTCTCGCTGTGTCACCCAGGCTGGAATTCAGTGGTATCACAGCTCACTGCAGCCTTGACCTCCTGGACTCAAGCAGTCCTCCTAACCTAAGCCCCTTGAGTAGCTCGGACTATAGGTGTACACCACCAAGTCTAGCTAATTTTTAAATTTTTTGTAGAAAATAGGTCTCACTATGTTGCCCAGGCTGGTCTCAAACTCCTGGGCTCAAGCTGTCCTCCTACCTCAGCCACCCAAAGTGCTAGGATTACAGGTGTGAGCCACTACACCTAACAGTAGCATATTCTTTATAACAATCCCAATGAATAGAAAGCTGTGAAGTTTACTTTGCTCCTTACTTTAGTCTTAAAAGTTGTAATCATGGTTTAAGTGATAACAGTGCTATAAGGTTTGTATGTTTTTTCCAAACACTCTGATGCATTTTGTTCTAGTCTAGGAAAGCCATTCTTGTGAGAACAGTATGTACAATGCGTTATATGATGATGTAGTAGTCAAGGTCTTGTTTATAGAAAGCAGGTGTCAGCCTAGGCAACAAAAAGTGAGACCCCATCTCTTAAAAACTTTTTAAAATTAGCTGGGTGTGTTGGCACATTCCTGTAGTCCCAACTACTTGGGAGGCTGGGGGAGGAGGATCTATCACTTGAGCCCAGGAAGTCGAGACTGCAGTGAGCCATGACCACACCACTGTACTCCAGCCTTAGTGACAGAGTGGGACCCTGTCTCAAAAAAATAAAAGATATCACTTACCAACTTTGGCTAACTTAAGGAGAAAGGAAGTATTGGATAGGTGATAAAATCTTTAGGATGACTTAAGAAGACTAGGCTTAGAAAAGGCCAGGAACAAAAGGAGGCTGGCCACACAGCCAAAAAGCATATCAGAGAATCCATCTAGCAAGGACACAGTTTGCATTGCTAGCAGTGCTGTCCCTGGACATTGCCACTTTATTTGCCCCAGGAGCTAAATATTGCTATTGATCCCACTATAAGGATTTACCACTTCCTCACTTCTCTGCAGCGCCAGCTTCAGATCAAAATCTCAAGCAGATGTATCTCATAAAGGATATCAGATTATATGCCTTCATCCTGGCTGCCAGTAAAGCTGATCTGTCTAGTGGTAGACAAGGCTCAAAAGTGGAAATTTCCTCAAAGCAAAGGGTTTCACATGCTGATCATCCAAAAATGAAAACAGTTTTTTTTTTTTGAGAAGGAGTTTTACTCTTGTTTCCCAGGCTGGAGTGCAGTGGCTCTGTTTAGGCTCACCACAACCTCCACCTCCCGGGTGCAAGTGATTCTCCTGCCTTAGCCTCCCAAGTAGCTGGGATTACAGGCACCTGCCACCATGCCTGGCTAATTTTGTATTTTTAGTAGAGGTGGGGTTTCTCCATGTTGGTCAGGCTAGTCTTGAACTCCCTGCCTCAGGTGACCCACCCGCCTCGGCCTCCCAAAGTGCTGGGATTACAGGCATGAGCCACCACACCCAGCCAAAAACAAAAATATTTAAGTCTTCTATAAGGATATAATTTTTTTTTTTTTTTTGGAGACGGAGTTTCGCTCTTGTTACCCAGGCTGGAGTGCAATGGCGCGATCTCGGCTCACCGCAACCTCTGCCTCCTGGGTCCAGGCAATTCTCCTGCCTCAGCCTCCTGAGTAGCTGGGATTACAGACATGTGCCACCATGCCCAGCTAATTTTTGTATTTTTAGTAGAGACGGGGTTTCACCATGTTGACCAGGATGGTCTCGATCTCTTGACCTCGTGATCCACCCGCCTCGGCCTCCCAAAGTGCCGGGATTACAGGCATGAGCCACCGCGCCCGGCAAGGATATAATTTTTTGTGAGCCAAAAAATATTTAGTAATTTGACAAATTTTTCGCTGCTATTGTTAAGAATCTTTTAATGGGATTCTTAAGAGTGTCAGATTTTAATGAGCATATCTAGAGTTTGAATGCTATATTAGGACGTTTTACGTTACTATGAAGGAATACCTGAGGCTGGGTGACTTATTTTTTTTAAAAAAGAGCTTTAATTGGCCCGGGGTTCTGCAGGCCATATAGGAAGCATGGGGCTGGCATCTGCTCTTGGTGAGGGCCTCAGGAAGTTTACAGTCATGGTGGAAGGTGAAGTGGGAGGAAGAATATTATATGAGAACAGGAGCAATTGAGGGTGGGAAGTGCCACACTCTTTTAAAGGACCAGATCTCATGTAAGAACTAAATTCATTACCATGAGGACAGCACTAAGCCATTCGTGAGGGATCTGCTCCCATGACCCAAACACCTCCCACTAGGCCCACCTCCAGCATTGGAAGTCACATTTCTTTTTCATTTTTTTGAGACAGGGTCTTACTCTGTTGCCCAGGCGGGAGTGCAGTGGCATGATTATGACTCAATGCAGCTTCAATCCCCCAGGCTCAAGTGATCCTCCTGCCTCAGCTTCCTGAGTAGCTGGGCCCGCAAGCATACACCACCATGCATGATTAACTTGAAAAAAATTTTTTTTGAGACAGTCTCATGCCCTTGCCCAGGCTTCAGTGCAGTGGTGCAATCTCAGCTCACTACAACCTCTGCCTCTCGGGTTCAGGCAGTTCTCATGCCTCAGCCTCTCAAGTAGCTGGAATATAGGCATGTGCCACCATGCCCGGCTAATTTTTGTATTTTTAGTAGAGACAGGTTTCACCATGTTGGTCAGGCTGGTCTTGTGATCCTGACCTCGTGGTCCACCTGCCTTGGCCTCACAAAGTGCTAGGATTATAGGCATGAGCTACTGCACCCGGCCAACTTTTAAATTTTTTGTAGAGACGAGTTCTGACTATGTTACCTAGGCTGTTCTCAAACTGGCGGGCTCAGGTGATCCTCCACCCTCACCCTCCCAAAGTGTTGGGATTACAGGCATGAGCTACCATGTCCAGCCAAGGAAATTACATTGCAACATGAGATTTGGAGGGGACAAAACATCCAAACCATGTTAAACAGCTTTGGATGATTTGCTGTTAATGTCTTCTGTTGCCTTAAAAAAGGAAAAAATTATAAGTATTGGCCGGGCATGGTGGCTCACGCCTGTAATCCAAGCACTTTGGGAAGCCAAGGCAGGTGAATCACCTGAGGTCAGGAGTTCAAGATCAGCCTGGGCGACATGGTGAAACCCATCTCTACTTAAAATACAAATATAGCCAGGCATCGTGGTGCATGCCTGTAGTCCAGCTGTCAAGAGGCTGAGGCAGGAGAATTGCTTGATTGGGAGGCAGAGGTTGCAGTGAGCTGAGATCATACCACTGCACTCCAGCCAGGGCAACAGAGTGCGACTCCATTTCAAAATATATGTGTGTGTGAGTGTATGTGTATATATATACTGTATGATTCTGTATATATTGGTAGATCTTTAATTAAGTGAGCTTTGACATGACAGGTTTTTCTTCTAAAATCACACTAACATTAAAAATGCACCCAGAATTGGGCCGGGCATGGTAGCTTGCTTGAACCCAGGAGGCTGAAGTTGCAATGAACCAAGATGGTGCCACTGCACTCCCACCTGGGCAGCAGAGCTATTAAGTTTTTTCTGAGTATGTGCTACCTTCTTTACTTTTGGTGGTGGCAACACATACATTGGAACTCAAACTCTTGAATTTTACTCCTAACCTGTAGCAATCTGGTGCTTTGTAATCAAATTCTCATTTGGAAAATGGGATTGTCTTTCCATTTGGGAGACTTCTGTTTTTCCTCGAACTAATTTTATAACTATTAATCTGTTAACTAACATTAACTTTGTAAATTTTATGCAGAATATTGTCTAGGTGATGTAGAGAATAAAGGAATTAGATAGGTGCTTTCATTTCCTCCATATAAGTTACACTTTATGTGATAACCACTAATGAATAACCTATATTCCCCTGGTGATCCTGGAAACCAAAGTAATTTTATAGTGAAGATTTTTGTTTGTTTGTTTTAATTAAATTTAGGCTTGAGGGGTGGTATTTGATCATTGTTCATGTGAGACAGTGTCTTGCTTTGTCACCCAGGCTAGAGTGCATGATCGACGCTCACTGCAGCCTTGACCTTCTGGGCTCAAGCAATTCTCCTACCTCAGCCTCCCAAGTACCTAGAGCTACAGGTGCATGCCACCATGCCCAGTTAACTTTTAAAATTTCTGTAGAGATGAGGTCTTACTATGTTGCCCGGGGAGTCTGGCTTTTTAATAAAAATCTTAGTTGTGAATAGAATGTTTCCTTTTCAGTCCATTATATAAATGAATTTTAAAGGTGCCCTTTTTCTTTTTTTTTTTTTAGTTTAATACAGTTTTTTAGTAAAATGAAGAAATGGTTGGACATGTCAAACCTACCACAAGAATTTCGTGAACGTATAGAAAGGCTAGAGAGAAATTTTGAGGTGTCTACTGTAATTTTCAAAAAATTTCAGCCAATTTTTTTAGACATATTTCAAAATCCATATGAAGAACCACCAAAGTTACGAAGCAGGAAGCAGAGGTGAGCCCTTAATGCGATTATAATAAAGACTATGACACAAACTAAGAGAATTTACTTTTTTGAAAGTCGACTTTTTATGAAAAGTATTCCTGCAAAGAACTTAATTATTTTCTTTTTAAATTCATGTACAATTATCTATACCTGGAAATTCAGGGTAATACTTTTACTTATTTTTCTATGTTCTGATTTTTTTTTTTTNTTTTTTGAGAAGGAGTCTCAGTCTGTTGCAAAGGCTGGAGTACAGTGGCATGATCTCAGCTCACTGTAACCTCCGTCTCCTGGGTTCAAGCGATTATGCTGCCCCAGCCTCTGGAGTAGCTGGGATTACAGGCGCATACCACCATACCCAGCTAATTTTTTATATATATTTTTTTGAGACGGAGTTTCACTCTTGTTGCCCAGGCTGGAGTGCAATGGCACGATCTCAGCTCACCGCAACCTCCACCTCCCAGGTCCAGGCAATTGTCCTGCCTCAGCCTCCTGAGTAGCTGGGATTAGAGGCATGCACCACCACGCCCAGCTAATTTTGTATTTTTAGTAGAGATGGGGTTTCTCCATGTTGGTCAGACTGATCTCGAACTCCCGACCTCAGGTGATCTGCCTGCCTCAGCCTCCCAAAGTGCTGGGATTACAGGTGTGAGCCACCACGCCCAGTCTAATTTTTTGTATTTTTAGTAGAGACAAGGTTTCACCATGTTGGCCAGAGCTGGTCTTGAACTCCTGACCTCACGTGATTCACCTGCCTCGGTCTCCCAAAGTGCTGGGATTATAGGTGTAAGCCACTGTACCCGGCCCTATGTTCTGATTATTTTATGCAGATTGGAAAGGCTTACTTAAGTCCATTTCATAAGTGATAGATTACTTTTCTTCATGAATGGAATTTCATGTGTAATTTGACCTATTTGATATTTATATTTACTATTTCAATTTATATGATATTTAACAAGCTAGTCAGACACAAAGTAATTTTTTTCCCTTTTTAGGAGGATTCCTTGCAGTGTTAAGGACCTATTTAATTTCTGTTGGACACTCTTCGTTTTTACTAAGGGTAAGATGGCACTTTCAGTGGTCTTACATTTCTGCTGTGGGAACTTGGTGCTATTTGACATGAGAAGTTTCTGTTTTTGTGTCTTTTTTTTTTTTTTTTTTTTTTTATAAAGGTAATTTTCGGATGATTGGGTATGATTTAGTAATCTCTTATCATTTACTTCTGTGCTGCTTGGATCTGATTTTTGCCAATGCCATTATGTGCCCAAATAGACAAGACTTGCTAAATCCATCATTTAAAGGTAAGACCTTTCATTTATTTTTGAAAAATGATTATCAGTTTTTAGAAAAAGACTTTTAAAAGTTGACCATGTTTTTTTCCCTCTGTTCCTCTTCCTACACTGTCAAACTAGGTTTACCATCTGACTTTCATACTGCTGACTTTAGGGCCTCTGAGGAGCCACCCTGCATCATTGCTGTACTATGTGAACTGCATGATGGACTTCTAGTAGAAGCAAAAGGAATAAAGGAGCACTACTTTAAGCCATATATTTCAAAACTCTTTGACAGGAAGGTACTGTACTTATAATTAAATGACTGAGATGCTTACAGGTCAGCAGTAATGTCTAAAGAAAAAAATGTTTTAAGCAAGTTCTCAACAATATAGAACTCAGGGTCAGGATTCCCAGGCTTTAGCCTCTGCTGTAATTCAGAATTTCTTTATGAGCTTGTGTGATGTGAGAAACAGCTGTTGAAAAATGTGACCAACTATTATATGTACTGTTAGGTAAACATACTGTCAGAGGCAACTGATAAAGAATTGTAAAGAACAGAATAGGCCAGGTGTGGTGACTCAGGCCTGTAATCCCAACACTTTGGGAGGCCAAGGCGGGCGGATCACCTGAAGTCAGGAGTTGAAGACCAGCCTGACTGACATGGAGAAACCCCGTCTCTACTTAAAAAAAGCAGAATAGAACATCAGAGTAAAGCTGACAAAGAATTAGGAAAGGCAGGAAGTCAGAATAAGCTGACTAGCTTACTGCCATAATTTGAATAACTGCTGACTGTTTACTAAAAGTAGGATAATGTGTAACAACTACAGTTTTAATTCCATGTAAATCAAGCAGAAAATCCATTATAGTTTTGTAGCCACTTGTACAGGCTATCTGTGTGCATTCTGGATATTTTCTCCTCAGTCATTAACTTATTTCTACATTTATGAATTGGCTTGTTCTTTTGGGTCTCAATTTCTTATTTCCCCAACATCAAGCCATTAAATGTAGTTAGGCCTCAAACCAAAAAAAAAAAAAAAAAGTTTAAAAAAATGTTATTTGCATGCTAAATAGGTTTTCATAGGCTGAAAGAAATATTTAATAATTCTGTTTTGTGTGTGTATTATAACAACAATATGGAAATTTAAACAAATTATGTGTGTATTAATCTGTAAATTTAGATAAATGTTTTTGTGTATGTATTAATATGCTTAATGATATGGTATCCCAAAATAATTTTTTCTTCACAGATACTAAAAGGAGAATGCCTCCTGGACCTTTCAAGTTTTACTGATAATAGGTAAATATGTAGTACTAATGGTGCCTGGCAAATCACAAGTATTTGTTGATTTATTAAAATTTGTTAAGCATAACATTACATCAAAGTAAAACATCCAAATTCAAGTTCTCTCTGCTTTAGTGGCATTGAATGGGTATTATCACTAAGAGTCATTGGCTTTAAATACATTTATTTTAAGAAATCAGGGCCGAGCACAGTGGCTCGCACCTGTAATCCCAGCACTTTGGAGGGCCAAGGCAGGCAGATTGCTTGAGCTCAGAAGTTGGAGGCCAGCCTGGACAACATGGTGAAACCCTGTCTCTACATAAAATACAAAAATCAGAAATCAGCTGGACATAGTGACGTGAGCCTGTAGTCCCAACTACTTGGGAGGCTGAGGTAGGATGGATCGTTTGAATCCAGGAGATCGAGGTTGCAGTGAGCTGTGATTGCACCACTGCACTTCAGCCTAGGTGACAGAGCGAGACCCTGTTTCAAAAAAAAAAAGAAGAAAGGAAGGCCAGGCATGGTGGCTTACGCCTGTAATCCCAACACTTTGAGAGGCCGAGGCAGGCGGATCACTTCAGGTCAGAAGTTTGAGACCAGCCTGGCCAACATGATGAAACGCCATCTCTACTAAAAATACAAAAATTAGCTGGAAGTTTGAGACCAGCCTGGGAAACCCCATCTCTACTAAAAATACAAAAATTCGCCAGATTTGGTGACGCATGCTGGTAGTCCCAGCTACTTGGGAGGCCGAGGCAGGAGAATTGCTTGAACCTGGGAGGCAGAGGTTGCAATGAGCTGAGATCATGCCACTGTATTCCAGCCTGGGTGACAGAGTGAGACTCTTTAAAAAAAAAACAAAAACAAACAGACAAAACAGCTACTCCCTTGAGAAACTTATAAATGGACCCAGTCACTCTGTATTTGATGTTACATCATTAGTACATGTTGGCAGTGCCCTTATTTCTTTTCTTTCTTTCTTTCTTTTTTTTTTTGAGATAGAGTCTTGCCCTGTTGCCAGGCTAGAGTGTAGTGGCGTGATCTTGGCTCACTGCAACCCACACCTCCCATAATTCAAAGCAACTATTGTTCTGTTAGTGATCAGAACCCATTGTCATTAATCAGATTCAACTAGTTTTCAGATTAAGTATAGGTCGTCACTTTTTTACTCACTTTTCAAAGTAACTTACTGGCCTTGCAAATGAATGTGAAGAATGTGCATAATCAGGTAGGACTCTCTGATATTGTTAGATGGGCAGAGTTAAAAATTAGTTGTCAAGTTTTCTAAGCTGTAAACACTAAAGCCGTCTTCAAGTCAAGATAAATCCATTGTATAACTTAGTATTATTATTATAGCTTAAAATAATTCTCTTTGCAGCAAAGCAGTGAATAAAGAGTATGAAGAGTATGTTCTAACTGTTGGTGATTTTGATGAGAGGATCTTTTTGGGAGCAGATGCAGAAGAGGAAATTGGAACACCTCAAAAGTTCACTGGTGACATCTCACTAGGGAAAATGACAGCACAGGCTAATGTGGAGTATAACCTTCAACAACACTTTGAAAAAGTAATATAACCTAGCCTGGCCTCAATCTTGAATGATCTTTTTCTCTGTGTGTGTGATTCTACTAACAGCAGAAGCACCTTTCAAGTTAAATCTTGATTTTCTTCTACTAATTCATATTTCCCATGAAAGCCTTAAAAGGTAATTTTTAAAACTGGCATTTAGTATTTTTATCTCATTTCTTACTATTCATTTTTTACATCCATTTTCCAGCATGCCTTGGTTTATTAGTAGAGTATGTTTCTTTTGACATAAAGAGGAAGTTTTGCTTTCTTACCATTCTTTCTTTGCTTCAACTTAGCCTCTATTTCATTGCTTTAAAATTTAGTTTGCTTTCCTACCCATGACACAAACTATGTGTTTTTCTATAACTTAAGCCATAAAACTCAGGACTTGATCGTTAATGGCCAAGGCTTAATTCTGTATTTATGGGTAAAATGGGTTGGAGGAAGAGATCCAATGGAAAATTCACTTATCTAGAACATAGAAAACCCCAAGTTTTAGTCCAAACTTTGTCAGCTGAAACAAGTTTTTTAATTTCTCTGTTCTTGTTTCCTCATATATAATATTAAAATATGTATACATTATCTTTCAAATCAGTGATGTGACGATTAAATGAAATTATATGTAGAAAGTACTTTAAAAATGTTATTTAAATTTAAGGATGTTATTAGCATAGTACTGCTAAAAGTTTCATGGATATTATGAATAGAGAAGATGATATATGTACTGAATTAAACACATAATGAGGAAGATGGTAACTTTTAAAAACTCACAGATTTTTCTTTTCTGACAGAAAAGATCATTTGCACCTTCTACCCCACTGACAGGACGGAGATATTTACGAGAAAAAGAAGCACTCATTACTCCTGTTGCATCAGCCACCCAAAGTGTGAGCCGGTTACAGAGTATTGTGGCTGGTCTAAAAAATGCACCAAGTGAACAACTTCTAAATATTTTTGAGTATGTGCAATACTGCTATTTTTCCATGCCTTTTTAAAATTAGATTTCTTATTCTATTCTATTTTTAGTATATTCAGAATTCTCAAGATAGTGGATATTCATCTGGCAGGTTTTACTATATCATTTCTTTTTCTTTTTCTTTTTTTTTTTTTTTTTTTTTTTTTTTTTTTTTTTTTTTTTTTTTTTTTT